CATGGTTCCCAATACCCAAGCACCCCCAGCTCCCAGCATGTATTTACTTCATTCTTACAGAAGAGACACATCAGTAACAACTCCTTTAAATAATCTCTGCCTGTTTTACTGCAATGTCCTTAACTCCTAATTTAGAAAACTTCTCATTTCTTTGCACTGCCAAAGCTCTACAACCATAGAGGACACCAAAGGAGAATGATGGTTGAGGAAAACTAATGAAAAGAAGTACCATCTAGTTAACCGACAGTTGCTATATAACCATTAGGCCTTCACACACACAAAAACTATACTGAATACAAAAATTAAACATTTAATCCCTTGAGCTCTTTTCTAAGCATCAAAAAGATACTTACAAACCTATGAGGGATAATTTACTTGAACATACTTTATATGCAGATATGTGTTGAGACTTTCAGAGTCTAAGGACAATATTAAGGAAAAAAATGTACTGCTGGGCAGAACTAGAAGTAATTGAAAAATTTAAATGAAAATGGGCTTAAAAAAAGAGGGGCGCCCTGGTGGCTCAGTTGGTTGAGTGTCCAACTCTTGATTTTGGCTCAGGTCATGAACCCAGGGTTGTGGGACCGAACCCCACGTCAGACTCAGTGCTGGGTGTGGAACTTGCTTAGGATTCTCTCTCTCTCTCTCTCTCTCTCTCTCCCCCCCCCCCCCCCCCCCCCCCCCCCCCCCCCCAGCTCCCTCCTCGTCCCTCTCCTCTCCCCGACTCACATGCTCTCTCCCAAAAAAGGAGGGGTGGATGAATATTGTCAAAACATTAAAATACTTACATGATTTAACTACTCTGTCATAAGATATAAATTTTAAGGACTAATTCCAGCATATTGGAAAAGAACCACAGCCTGTGCAACAGGAAAGCACTGAATTCCCAAAAGTGTTTCAAACCCACTGAATATTATCACGCTGCAGCAAGAGTCAACAACTTGTGGCAAGCTCTGGAGATGACTTTGAGTAGTACTCAAGTAGGAAGTCTATCAATATCCACTGAATGAATGATTGAATGAATCAGAAAACTCACACATGGTGCAATATCCAGAACCCACAGCCAGTTAATCTGAAACCAGAGCCAGAAGTAAAACAAAAAAATAATACCCAAGTCTAATCCCAAGTCATTCCCCCAGGAGTCAGCTCCCCTTAAGTTTTTTTTCACTCTATGTAGTTTATTCATCCTCCCTTACTTTTATGAAAGTTCCACATTCTCTTTCCCACCATCTCCCTCCTTCTTAACCAGCTTCCCAGATAAAAAGACAGCAGTTTCTAGTCTTACCATTTTTCAGACAAGTAATAACATCTCTAAAAATCACCCACAAGTGTTCAAATGTCTGGCCTCCTAAAGGCCAGACATTGTGCTTGGTGGTAGGCTGCAAAGGAAGTAACACTATACCTGCCTTTCAGGTACCTTGTTGAGGAGGTAGACAAGCAATTACAGCGTAAAAAAATGCTTGGAAAATAAGGGAAGAGTGCCACTAGAGGGACCCTCCACTTTACTAGGTGGGAGGGAAGGGTGACAGAGACCCAAAAAGAAACAACTCAAAACCAAAAAATAAATCGTAACTGAATATGCCTGTGACTGTTCTAATAGCTCAAGTTAGCACTCTAAAGTGACTCTCCTAATGAAAACTCTCTTACTATATACATAAAAAAAAGTTGAAGTTCACGACACTGGCACTGAGTACCAGCAAGGGGGGGGGGGAACCCCACACAATTCAGTAGAATGCTAAACCTAATTAGTCATGATATCAAGAGGCTTCACCCATTTATTGTCTGTCCCGCCTAGCTGAAGGTGACTTGACTGACCCACTCTTGTGATTTCAGTTGTTGTTTTTTTTTTTTCTCACAGCAGTGATGGACTTGCTGGGATCCATTCATACTTCCTCCGATACTCCTTGAAGCCAATGGCAAAGTTGCTGGACTGCTGGTTGGCACTGTGGCCATGGAAGAAATAAATGACCACGTACACGAACTGCTTCCTTACTATTCAGAAAGACAACTAAAAACATAATTAACCAACACCATGGGAGGGTGGTGAGACAGGTAGTAGGGATGGGACCCTGGAAGGTGCCTAACAAGGAAATTCATCTCTTGCTAGCTTCACAATGAGTTTTCACCTCCTGGTACTCAGCATGGAAGTCTTCTGTCTCTAACTCCCTCTGGCTACAGATCATTTCCAAGCTTCATGTCCACCTTGCCTAACTTTCCTCTGACAACACTGTCCTGTCATCCTGTCCTTACCACCCCAAGAACACCCCTCTCTTTTCATGATGACTCATTCCTTCCTATGGAATCTAGGTAGTATGGAAGTTCCCTTAGGGAACTGTCTTATCCCTATCTCCAACATGAATCAGGACATGGCTAACACAAAAGTTACCACATTTTAATTTTTTTATTTTTTTAAGTTTATTTATTTATTTTGACGAGGGAGGAGCACAGAAAGTAGTAGAGAGAGAATCCCAAGCAGGCTCTGCACTGTCAGTGCAGAGGCTGATGCAGGGCTCAAACCCACAAACCACGTGAGATCCTGACTCGAGCCAAAACCAAGAGTCGGATGCTTAACCGACTGAGCCACCTAGGCACCCCAAAGTTACTAATTTTTAAAAAACTCTGATGTGTGTACTCTTAAGGGCGCTTTCCTCAATTTTAATAAATAACTTCAGCAATTGAAAAAACTATACCTTATCATTTAAAAAAACTGAAAAACATCATGGCTCCTAGTATAACACTAAAATTAATATGGAATTAATCTTTTACACAGCTTTTAATTATGGGGGGCGGCACCTGGGTGGTTCAGTCGGTTAACTGTCTCATTTCAGCTCAGATCATGATCTCAGTTTGTCAGTTCAAGCCCCACATCAGGCTCTCTGCTGTCAGCATAGAGCCTGCTTTGAATCCTGTCTCCCTCTCTCCTGTCCCTCCCAATCTCTTGCTCTGTATCTCCCTCTCAAAATTAAACAAACATTAAAAGAAAGGAAAAAAAAGTTACTTACTTAAACACACACACACACACACACACACACACACACACACACACAAACACAAAGATTTTAATCATAGAGGCGCCTGGGCAGCTCAGTTGGTTGAGCATCTGACTCTTGATTTTGGCTCAGGTCATGAGCCCAGGATCATGGGATTGAGCCCAGGATCAGGCTCCACCCTAAGAGTGGAGCCTACTTAAGATTCTCTCCCTCTAGCCCTCTCCCCCACTTGCACTCTCTCTAAAACAAAATACAAAACAAACAAACAAAAAACCAGGGGGACCTGGGTGGCTCAGTCAGCAGAAAGTGGCCAACTCTTGATTTCAGCTCAGGTCAAGATTTCATGGTCTGTGCAATGGAGCCCTGAGTTGGACTCTGCGCTCACAGCAGAGGAATTTGCCTGGAACTCTCTATCCCTCTCTTTCTGCCCCTTCCACATGCTCTCCCTCTTTCTTACGCACAAAAATAAACAAACATTTTAAGTAAACAAATAAAAATAAAATATTTTAATTATAATCAGCATTTTACTTTTAACTTTCATGAATGTAAAATGTAGGAAATGTTTCCTTTGAGTTCATATTCATTGAAAATAGCTCTCCAGCAATATTTATAACGTAATTAAAAAACACACTATTTCTAGGATAACTCAACAACACTTTAACGTTCACTAAACACAGCTTTTGGAGTCTCCAGCTCAAAACAAAAACAACAACAAAAACAAACCTCAGCAAATGTATATGGTAGATGTTCTAAAGCTGATGTTTTTAAAATTATGAGTCATAAGTGCATGGATTTCTTTATTTTTAAGATATTGCAAGCCTAATCAAAGGGATTTGTTTGATCATTTCACATCAGAAATTTCTTAAATTTCTAGTATAAAAAAGTTTTCAATCTTCAAACAAGATTGCTGCTAATACACATCAAAATTCTAAGATTGAAAGAAGTTTCTTCCAAATTAAATTTCTAATTTAAAACAAGAAAGTTGTATTTTATGATACTTAAACACAAATGCCAAAAAAATGGGGAAAATGAGCTTCAAAATCAACTTTTTATGAAATCATGAAGTCAAAGACCCCGGGAACAAAATAAATACATTTTTATCTATCCTGTATTGAAAATCAGGGTAAATGTAATTCATGATCTATTTTACTGAAAAAGCCTTAATTTAGAATGTGATAATCTTTTAACAGATCAGAATTAAAGTAAAATAAATGGCCTGACATGTTGGCAAAATCTTCATCGGGAGTCAATTTACTTTACTTACAAGGAAGGCAAAAGTTACCACCTTAAAACCACAAGCCAATTAACAATCCTGGCTTTTGCAGTCCCCAGATCCTGAAATCAAAATTCTTGCACTTCACTCTGGGATCATCCGCATGTGTGCTTTTAGGGTCAGATAATATATTTAGAGACGAGAAAATGTAAATCTACTAACAAGAGTGGTACAATTTCAAAAAAATGGTACAACTTCCAAAAGCTAGATTAATGGCCTATATACTTTTGTACTTTAGTTTGAAAATAAACAGTATCAGATGCTTCTGAGAGTAACACAACAATAAGATCACCTACTTGTTCACTTACTTGCTATCATTTTTACATATGAATATCTTCTAAAAGCTAGGGGAAAAATAAATCTGGTAAAGGACTCTTTGAAATCTCATTTTTTTCCAAAATCAAGAGTAGCCCACAAAAGTTAGGAAGGCACTCAAGAGAACCAATTAGATTCCCTTTCTGAAGTGGGGCAAAATTAGTTAGGAATGGGGCACCTGGGTGGCTCAGTCGGTTAAGCGTCCAACTTCAGCTCAGGTCATGATCTCACGGTTCGTGGGTTCGAGCCCTGCTGACAGCTCAGAGTCTGGAGCCTGATTCAGATTCTGTGTCTCCCTCTCTCTTTGACCCTCCCCTGCTCATGCTGTCTCTCTCTCTCAGAAATAAATAAAAAACACTAAAAAATTTATTTAAAAAATTAGTTAGGAAAAAAGTTGGCAATGATTTTTATCATCAATTTACCTCCTTTATGGTCTCCCATTGTTTATGGTCTCCCATTGTGCTGTAGAAGCTGTGTACATATGCATCTTCCCACCGGACTCAAGGTGAGCAGCCGTGTTTCATTCATTCATCCCCACATTCCTTGGTTCCTAGCAAAATGCCTTACACATAGTAGCAACTGAAAAAAGGTTGACTGATTTAAGGCAATAAGCTGGTCCTAATTCCAGGTAATCAATTAGGCTCAAACTCATGCAAGAACATTCATAGTTTCATTTTATCTAATAAGCACTGAGTAATTTGATGTTTTTAATTTGCCAAGCTATTAAATGCATTTTAAGCTCTGAATAACATACCTATATTTAAGAAAGTGTGTAGTGAAACATTAAAAAAAATACTCTTACAAAAATATTCTTAGAAAAGAGGGCTGATTTCACTATGTGTAACATGGAACTAGATGGTGTTGGTATGAGAACATAAAGTGACTGGGCACGGATGTAAAAAGTTTGTTAAGATGACAAGAACGTTACAAAGCTAATTAAAAAATGGAAAAGTGGAATTCTGGCTAGAAAAGTCATAATGGGCAAGCAGGAGGCTTAATGTAGAGTACTGGCGGCTCCACTCAGACTCAGTCTAGGAAGGTGGGGAGCCCTGTTTCTCACCCCTGATGAACAATTATTTCTCTACCAATCTCCATGGTGCTGCTGGAAACTGAGGTACAAACCACGGGCCAAACCAGTTATTCCCCATTACCATTACCCAAAGGAAACGATGGAATGAATACCAAGCAGAGTGGGCCCTTTATGAGTTCCATCAACTCTCTAAAGCTCTAGTTGAGAAAAGAAGTAGGCAAATTATACCCCACAGGCCAAAGTGGGCCAAATTTCAGCCACCTCCTGTGTTTGTACAACCTGCAAGCTAGGAATGGTTTCTACATTTTTAAGTGGTAAAACAAAGAATCACATTTTATGACACATGAAAATGATACAAAACTCAAATGTCAGCATCCAAAAATAAAGTTTTCATTGGAACACTGCTGTGCCTATTCATTTACATGTTGTCTATAGCTGCTTTTGCACTATTATGGCAGAGATGACAAAGACCTTATAGCACACACAGCCTACAATATTTACTAGCAGGCCTTTTACAGAAAAAGTATGTTGACCCCTGGCTAGAACATTTCTTTATGCTCCTGGTTGTATCTCCTTTCTCAGAGGTGGTCCACTGCTTCACAAGGTAGACTCAGCTTGACATATGTCCATCCTGGGGCTGAGTTGTCCAAAGTTACATCATTACATATAATATCATACAACTCATTAGGTGAGCACAAAGACAAAGTAACAAATTACATGCATTCTAAGGCACTGAAAAGGTAGCGCAATCCAAGTAGATTATTACAGGCAGCACATTTCAGATCTTTTACCAGACTACTACATCAAGTTCTAGGTCGCACTGTGAAAGGAAACAAGAACCACAGAGAATTTGGAGGTGGGAGAGATGATTAAAAAAGCTCAAAAATCATATAACCAAAGAAATGCTAAAAGAAATGAGATTTGTTTGCCCAAAAAAGAGAAAGGTGAGAAAAGAACTAGAATAGTGAGGGTGTCAAACTTTACATTTGTTGATTAATTTTTTACTGATGAAAATAATGGCAGCGTGAACTAATAATCTGCAAAACATATATCTGACGAATTAAATGTGATTCTTAATGAGACTCCCACTCCTGCCTTAAGCCGAAAACTGGCCCCTCAAAAGATAATCACTTGTCAAATATTGTAAGTTTTCAACTGATGAATTACAGCAATGTTTCTTTTGAGAAACATCTGGCATTATGTAAGTTACCAGAAAAAGTGTGCTATTCATGTGCTGAGGTTCAGTAATATTCAAGTAACTAAAAGGTAATGTAAGTTTCAAAACCATATGCCTTTCCACAGGACCAAATTGGGGGAAATGGGTTTAAACTACAGAATTTGTGTTACATTCAAGAATCCTCACACCGTGGGACTTTAATTACTCTAAAAGATTACTGAGGGTAAAGGAATCTTCCCAGGACACCATTCAATTAGAATGGAACTATCTGGATGTTTTCCTGAAGCAGAAGAATGGGTCTCAAATCCATTCTTCATTGCTGATTCTGTAGTTTTAACTCTCCCAGTTCTTATAAGAGAGTCTGCAGCCATGCTGCTTCATTTTGTCTTAAAGGTGGTCAGTGTACACAAAGCTACATCTAACATAAACTTTAACATCCCAAATTAAAATTTGGTTGTAGCTTTAGTAACAACTTCTTTTAAATTACAGAGATAGAGAATACATTCCCATTAAGTAGGAAAAATTGGGGAAATGGACACAGTTTCCAAATATTTATATGAGTCTAAGTCCTCTATTACCTCACACCGTCCAACACTTGTCCACAATAAGTGAAGAAAAGATGGTGTATTTCCTATCAGGTTTGAGCCTTTTAAAAACACAAAATCCTCCAACACAAAATGTTCTTTGAGTCAATCCCAACAGCCCAGTTAAGCAAATTCTGAAACTTGCTCTAAATATACTTTTAATCCATCTAAGTTTTTCGATCTCGAAATTCTAAGGCCTGCATTTTCTTAAGAATACCCTTCCAATGGAGTGAAGCACACACTAATCTGACTCACTAAACTTTCTCCACTCCTACATCACCTATACAGGATTTTAAAATCAAGAGTACATAATACTTGCAAACCACTTTCACAATCTTGCATTAACCTTACCGGGATAAACTTTTCGCCAAGTATGTTAACACTTTTTATTTATTTATTTAAAGACCTGTGGTAGCGAAACAAAGAAAACACAACCCCCTCCCCCTTCTCTAAACCATATGGCAGTAAATTGAAGTTAACTTATTTTTTTTTTTTTTTACCGGCTCAATGCCTATACATCGTTCCTAAACGTGTTTCTCTTTGTGCCCTGGGACTAGGTAGAGCTGTCTGCTTATTTGCAACTGTACCCCAATCATGCTTTTAGACCGAGAAACAAGTCCCAAACGCCCCCTGACCATTAACAGACCGGACCACGGTCATTTACCAGAACCTGGTTAGGTAGGTAGTGCACGCCAGGGGAGGGGCCCGCGGCCCGCCGGGAGCAAGTCCCGCTCTGACCGGGTGATCGAGCAGGGAGTTTACTCGCCGCGGCCGGGCCGGATCCGCCCCGGGAACTTGGTTACCCGAGCCCAGGGACGCGCCGAGGCCTAGCCGCGAGGCCGGGGCGGGCTCCGGGTGGCGGGGGCTTCCCGTTCGCCGGCCGCGGAGCCTTCCCGCCCGCCCCGCGGTCGTCCGCAGGCAGGGGCGCTCGCCGTCGTCTCCCGGCGACCGGACGCGCCTGCCGGGTCCACGGACGGCTCCTCTGTCTCCTGCCGCCGCCCGCGGCCCCGTTCGGCGGCCGCACCGAGCCCTTCCGGGGCGGCAGGAGCGCTAGGCCGCGCCGGAGCCCGTGGCTCCGGGGCCGGCCGGGCGGGCCGCGGCGGCCGGTATCAGTCCCGAGGGCCGGGCTCCCGCCGGTAACGGGCCCCGCCGACTCCCCTCCCCCTCCCCCGCCCCATGACAGTGCAAACCCTCCGGCCGGCCCGGCCGCCCCGCCTCCGGCACCAGGCCCAGCTCAGGGCCGCGGCCGTGGCGGCGGCGGCGGCGGCGGCGCCGCGACTCTCTCTCCTCCGCTCTCGCTCGCTCGCTCCCAGGCCCGGCGCCTCGGGCCCGGCTCGGGCTCCGCCGAAGTCTCCGCCGCTTCCCGGCCGCCCTCCGCGGCGCCTGGCCCGGGCGGGGTAGGCCGAGGCCCGGGCGGTGGGGGTGGGGGCGGGGGCTCCTCTCACCTTCATGTCGGGACATCCTAGTTCAGACGGTGGCGGCGCGGCCCCTCCCGGGCTCCGGCTGCAGTGTCCCCGGCGGGGTCCCGGCGCTGCCCGCGCCGGCCGGCCGACTCCCACTCGACTCCCGGGCTCGGCCGCGGGGGCGGGGTGGGCAGGGGAGCGCTCCCGCGGCGGCGGCGGCGGCGGCGGCGGCGGCGGGGAGGCGGCGCGGGGCGGGAATGGGGCCGGGCCTGGCCGGGGCTGAGCTCCTCCAGGAGGCGGGTCCGACGCCGCGGCTCCGCCGGCGCCCGCCGTGACTCGGTCACTCTCGGGCCCGCCGGCTCCCGGCTGCGGCGCCGCGCTCCGCAAATCCCGCTCCTCCCCTCCCCCGGCCCACCCCCCGCCCCTCTCCCCCGGCTCCCGGCCGCCGCCTCCTCCTCCTCCTCTTCCTCCTCCTCCGCCTCCTTCCGCCGCCCGCACGCCGGCCCCGCCTCTCGCTGCCCGCGCCGGGCCCAGCCGCCCGGAGGCCCCGCGGCCGGCGGTCGCGGCGGGGGCGGCGCGGCGCCTGCCCGCGCTCGCCAGCAGGCCGTGGTCGGGCGCCCGAGCCGGGCTTCGGCCTAGCCTGGCCGCCGCCGCCGCCGCCGCCGCCGCCGCGCCGCCGCGCAGCGCGTAGGGAGGAAGAGGAAATGCCCGGCCGCCGGCGCCCGCCGCTCTTCGGTACTGCCGGCCCGCGTGGCCCGTAGGGCACCCGCCTGCCCGGCCGCCCCAGCTCCGTCTGGGGCCTACCCGGGTCTCGGCTGTGGGCGCCCCCGCCGCTGGGCTGGGCTGATCGCGGGCGGCGGGCACTGCCCGGCGACGAGCTGCGGCTCCGAGGGGCCCTGGCCCTCGGGCGCATTGCTGGCCAGCCGGCCGGGGAAGCTAGCTTTGGGCCCCGACCCCGAGGAGAGGCTGCGGACTGCCTGGGGACATGTATTTGTGTTTCTTTTTAAACCAGCGTCTCGGAAGGGAGAGGCGGCAGGCCTCCGGTCGTCGTTGGGTGTTGAGAGGCCGGGTGACTCGCGGTCGGGAGAGGGCGTGGGCTCAAGAGGCAGCCGGACATGGCTGCTGAGCCCCAAGGCCGCCTCCTCGCGACCATCTCTTTGAAGACTCCGCGCCCGCCAGCCCAAGTGTCCGGGGGGGACCCGCGCAGAGTTTGTTCCAGCACCTTGCTCACCTTGAATGCGCTGCTTGGAAAACTTTTGGAGGGTGTGTTTGTATTTCCTTTTTCCCCCTGCCCGTGAACTACTTTTACGTTTTCATTTATCTTACACATTCCCCCCCCCCCCGCTTCCTTGTCAACTTTGTTTTCAGTCGTATTAATTCAACGAATATTTATACGACCCCTTAGCACGTGTCGGTGGAAGTGTGGTTCGATGGAAATGGACCATGCCTCGGAGTCAAGACAGATCTGCCATCGGATTCTGGTTCTGATACACTCTGTGTAACCTTGGCAAATTATTTAACCTTGCTGAGTCTCCTTTTTTTTTTTTTTTTTTTTATTTGTCCTATGTTCGCTTTTGGTTATTTCAGTTTACTCTTTTATATTTGAAATTGTTCCGGGCTTTTTGGTTTGTGTGTGTGTGTAAAATAGAAGTCTGTTGCTAGGCGAAGGCTATTCTTGATCCTGTACACCATTACTAGCTGTGTGACCTGGGGCAGCGCATGGCAGCCTTCTGTGGCTTGATTTCCCCATCTTTAAAATGTCCCAGATTACAAATGATAATACGGCTAATAATGACAATAACAGTTGGTATTTGGAAGATTTAGTGCCAAAATGTGTATAAAATACGTAGCACAGGACATAGTATAGTGTTTGTTACCATGTTTGATTAAATCTGATTTCAAGCATATTAAAAAGCTTGTTTTAAAGTCCAGGAATAGGTATTAGGTCACTCAGATCTACCAAAGGACTCCATTTGGTAGTAACTAGTGATATACTGTCAGCCAAATAAGGTTTAAGCAAATGGGGATTTAAACGAGGACTTTGTCACCAGAAATATTTCCGTTGCACTCAATGGAGCTTTTGCCTAAATTAAGTCCAGCACAGCTGTTGAAGAAAGAGGTCCACCCAGGCCATTATTGGGGTTTGGTGGAGTAGAGAACCTGGCTTCCAGCAAGTCTGGCTGACATTTATAGAACCTGTGCCTTTCTAAGCACTTTACAGTATTGGTGTGTGTGATCCTGGGTACCGAACACTAAGGAGCTTCTGGGTGTTGGGCTTTAAAAGCGAGGACAGCACCACCCTACAGTTTTGTGATGACTAGATGATGTCTGTAAATATATTAAGGTACAGACATTAAGGCATTGTCAGTAGTATACATGGCTGGAGGAGGGAAGAGAAGCAACAAAAATAAATTGACTCCAGGAAGAAATAAGAGTAAGTATAGAGGTTTAGTTTGTTTCAGTTTGGAGAGTTGTTAGCTCATTCTGTTAAGGAGAGCAAACAGAAAAAGTGTCTAAACCTCAAGGGAATATCAGATCTTTGACAGTTATTTCACTGTTTGCAGTCAGTCAAAAGTAAGAAAATGAAAATGACTAAACATTTTTCTTCTTTGCATAAGCCTAAGGAGGAATATTACAGTTATCTGGGGTTTTCATGGCTGAAGGAAACATTTCCTCAATTCAGTTAGAGGTCAGGCCCTTCACTTTAAAACAACCTTCTGCTTGCTGTTCAGCCGTATAGGAGATTTCCTTTCCAGAAAGATCAAGTGCTTTACCAAATTGCCCATCAGATGATTTCTGTTCTTCAGAAATGGTTCTTCCAGTCCTTTCCACTCCCTGTACCTCCTTTTGAGTTTGTCCAATGTCCTTGCCTCGCTAACCCATCTTCCATACTGTGGCCCAATTATGTTCTGTAAAACAAGCTAATGCATGTAAACACTGGTGAAATCTGAATAAGGTCTGTAGCCTAGTTATTTGCATTGTGCTAATATCAGCTTCCCGGCTTTGATAGTTTTCTATAGTTTTGTAAAATGTTACTACCATTGGAGGGAGCTGGGTGAATGCACATGGGCCCTCTCTGCAATTTCCTGTGAGTATATTATCATTTCAGACTAAAAAATTATAGAGATAGAAATCATCAATAATTGCTTGCCTCTGAGTGGGGGGAGTGGGAATTGACTACAGAGAGAACTTTTTGAGGTGATGAGGATATTCTAAGTCTTGATTGTCTTAGTGTTTACTGTACACCCAAAAAGGGTAAAGTTTACTTCTCTACAAATTATATCTGAAAATTGACTTGAAAAAAAGAAAACCAAGCTCTTATCACCCCAGCCTCCTACTGTCTAAAGGGTGAAACTTAACTTCTCATATAAGGTCCAACAAATTTTTCCTTCATCTGCTGGTGTATCCTGTGCTGTCTTGTACTGTATTGATTCCTGCCGCTGAGCCTTTGCATATGCTCTTCCCTTTGCTTAAGGAGAACACAGGAAATTCAGGCGCAAATTCAAATTCCCTGTACTCTCTTAAGCCTTCCTTGCCTCCATTAAGCATACTCGTACCTTCCTCTGCTCTGCTCACTTATGATGTGCTGTAATTTTTATTTATTTTTTTTATGTTAACGAGAGTATCTTCAGCAGGATCCATGCAGAGCCTGATATAGGACTCAATTCCATGATCCTGGGATTATTAACTGAAGTGGAATCAAGAGTTGGATGCTCAACTGACTGAGCCACCCAGGCCCCCCTCTGTGCTGTAATTTTTTATTAGTTTTCATCTCTTCTCTCAGCTGAACTCCATGGTAGGCAATCACATGATTCTTTTGTATCGCAGGCATCCAGTAGTGTCAAATGAGTGAATGAATGAATGAATGAATGAATGATTTAAAACTGGAAGAATGCTTATTAATTTCTGAAAGTGTGGTCCAGTGTCCTCAAGATCTTTCTCAGTGGTCATTGACCCTACTTGGATTTTCTTATATACTTCCAACAGCACATCTCAATAGAGTGAATGTAGAGGCAGATAAGGGAATCGAGCTGTCTTCACTTATGCCAAACGTTAAAGGTATTTGCAAAACTAAAACATTGTCACACCTACAAATGTTTTTCTTTTGGAAAATTGTTATTTTTCTTAAAAATATTTGTTCTGGAGTGCCTGAGTGGCTCAGTCAGTTAAGCATCCGACTTTGGCTCAGGTCATGATCTAATGGTTCGGGATTTCAATCAAGCCCCATGTCGGGCTCTTTGCTGACAGCTCAGAGCCTGGAGCCTGCTTCTGATTCTCTGTTTCCCTCTCTTTGTGCTCCTCTCCGGCTCGTGCCCTGTCTCTGTGTCTCAAAAATAATAACGTTTAAAAAATGTTTAAAATTTATATTTCTTGCTAGGGGTGCCTGGGTGGCTTAGTCGGTTAAGCCTCCGACATCTCTCAGGTTATATGTCACCGTTGATGAGTTCGAGCCCCAAGCGGGCTGCTGCACGGACATTAGGGAGCCTCCTTGGGATGCTCTGTCCCTTCCCCTCTCACACTCTCAAAAATAAACATTAAAAACAAACTTACACAAATTTTGTTACTATGAAATGGGTTTGTTTAAGTGTGTAAAGGGGTACTTTTTTTTTTTTTTTTAACATTTATTTTGAGGGAGAGTGCAAGCAGGGGAGGGAAGAGAGTGAGACACAGAATCCTAAGCAGGCTCCAAGCTCCAAGCTGTCAGCACAGAGCCTGACGCAGGGCTCAAACTCATGAACCATGAGATCATGACCTGAGCCGAAGTCGGACGCTTAACCGACTGAGCCACCCAGGCGCCCCCAGTATGTAAAAGGATTCTAAGATGAAAATGTTGAAGAATCTCTGCCTTTAGGAATGAGCCTGGGTGGCTCAGTGGGTTGAGCATCTGACTTCAGCTCAGGTCATGATCTCACTGCTGGTGAGTTCGAGCCCCACGTCCAGCTCCCTGTCCCCCTCTCTCTGCCCCTCCCCTGCTTGTGTATGATGTCTCAATAAATAAACATCGAAAAGAAAAGAATCTCTGCCTTTAGAGACTCTTACAACCCCCTCAGTGCTCAAATGAAAAATGATGATAATGCTAGCATCTAAGCAGTGCTCGGGTATGTGTGGCAGGCCTTGTTAGAAGTTATAGGTCCTGTTATATCTTTATTTACTCATAAGGCAAGTGAGGCACAGAGAAGTTAATTGAGTTGGCCACATACCTAGTCACTTGGTAGAGCCAGGATTTGACCCCCTGCTGCTAACTAGTTTTCTGCCCCCTCGTTGGAGGCCTGGGAAGGGTCGGAATGGCTCGTGGTGTCTGGTTACCTCACCATTATGCTCTCCGACCAACCTCACAGTTACTGCAAAAGTCACTGAAACCTTGAACTTGCTTTACAATTTTCCTTTCAAATTCTGCCACCCAGAGTATGACCTTGTGATGCCTTGGGTTTTTTTTTTTAATTTTTTTTTTAAATCAAATCATGTGCACCTACATTTCAACCACCCACCCACTCCCCTCATGACCATACATGGAACTTGGATATACAACTTCCTGTTATGACTTCCAATTTTTACAGTTTTCTTAATCTTACACTAAATGTATTCTTGCACTTCGTTAGGACCCCAATACCTTGAGCTTTCCACTTGGGCCTTTATTTTTCCCTTTAACCCCATTCTCTTCCTGACCCAGTGGGTGCCACCATGGTCTACTCATTATTCTCATTCATAACCTTTGACTCTTTAGACCCCTCATTTTCAAGCTGCAACAGCTCTGCAAACTCCCAGCCCTGAATCCATTGCATGATTCCATTTCTTCCCACCTATATCACGTAGAGTGCAGAACATAGCATTACAAAATGATGGGAATGTACAGATGGGGGCGAGGGGGGAGGGTGGAACTGTTACAAAATCCAGTGGGTCCAATTGCAGCTGGCCCTCAGGATCGTTCAGCAGTCTGTGTCTTTGATCGGCACCCTCTACCATTCTCAGATTATAAACCTTCACTTGGCTTAAACTGCTTCTGCATCCACATCCCCAGCTGCTCACCTAGTCACAGAGGAAGTAAAGTTCAAAAAGCAAGAACTTCCCTTCATACTATGAGACTCTAAGGGAATGTGTACATGTGTATCCTGCTGCCACACGCCCTTGCCACCATCCCAGAAGAACCGAGTTTTCCCTCTTGGTCCATTCCCACCTCTGCTTCGGGTCCCACTTCATCCCATCTTGGGTTATGCTCCCTTAGCCGTCCCCTCAATATCTGTACCTCCAACCGCTCAGCCTCACTGGTTCATTTCCCTTGTCCAAAAACAGCCCCAACTCTAGGATACCTGGGTGGCTCAATCAGTTGAGTATCCAACCTTGGCTCAGGTCATGATCTCACGGTTTCTGAGTTCAAGCTTCATGTCTGGATTTCTCTCTCTCTCTCTCTCCCCCCACCTTCCCCCACTTGTACTCTGTCTTTCTCTCAAAAATAAACATTTAAAAATTTGAGGGGCACCTGGGTGGCTCAGTTGGTTAAGCGTCCGACTTTGGCTCAGGTCATGATCTCACAGTTGGTGGGATTGAGCCCTGCGTCGGGCTCTGTGCTGGCAGCTCAGAGCCTGGAGCCTGCTTCGGATTCTGTGTCTCCCTCTCTCTCTGCCCCTCTGCCACTCATGCTCTGTTTCTCTCTGTCTCAATAATAAAAAAAAAATAAAATAAAAATAAGAAAATTAAGGAAAAAAAATAACACTCCAACCCTATACTCCCTCCGGTTACTGCCCTGTTTCTTTCTCTTCAGAGTCAAGTTTCTTGGAAGAATTCTCACTTCTCTTCCTCAGCTTTAAAACCTGATTAATCTTACTGTTTGGTTTTTAATTCTGTGAGCCACTCTCCTATTCCCTATCATGTCTGTGCTCTTCCTATATCCCCCAGAGTTGAACAGAGTCACAACCTAGTCAGTCACCTAAGATGAAACCAACAGTCATCCTAGACTTACCTCCCATTTACCTCTCATGGTCTCTTTGTCACCAGTAACTTTTACCCACATTGGTCAGGTTCATGCCTTTCTCCATTCCCATGGTGGCCAAACCATTGCAGGCCACTACCACACCTCCTCGAGACTCCGAGTGATCTGGACGCCTAAGTGCCAGTCATACTCTCCTCCAATGTACCATTTCCAGTTAGCTGTTTTTTCTTTTTGAATATCAGTGCAGAGCCTGATGTGGGGCTTGAGCCCATGAACTGTGACCTGGACTAAATGGAAGAGTCAGTCGCTTCACCAACTGAACCACCCAGGCACCCCTCTTTTTGACTAAATTTTTAAAACTGGCATTCCTGGCTGGCTTAGTCCATATAGCATGTGACTCCCGATATCAGAGTCGTGAGTTCAAGCCCTACGTTGGGAGTGGAACTCAAAACAAAAACAAACAAACAAAATGAGAGTAATACATATTCACTGGAGAAAATTTGGAAAACACAGAAGAGCATAAAAAAGGTTGTTTACAACCTTAGCACCCAGAGATAAACATGGTTATATTTTGATCTGTTTCCTTCCTAGAGCTGTTGTTCTAAATCACAGACTGGGTCATATTCCACTGCCTAAAGTCCTTCAATGCCTCACTTTATTTTTTAAATGTTTATTGATTTATATTGAGAGAGAGAATCCCAAGCAGGCTCCATGCTCAGTGCAGAGCCCAATGTGGGGCTCCACCCCATGACCCTGGGCTTATGACCTGAGCCAAAATCAAGAGTCAGATACTCAACCAACAGAGCCACCCAGGCGGCCCAAAGGATCACTATCAATGTTCCAGATCTCTTACAGATGATAACTGAAATGCCTACAAAGGGGTAAAGTCTATATAGGATCTGCCTCTGTTCACCCAGCTTGTCTACTACAATCTGCCCTACAGTCAGTGTTACCTGCCACGTGGTCAATGTTAAGTGGGTTGCCCTGGCTTCAGTGTGGTCTTTTCTGCTTTCAGGGACTTTGCATTTGCTTCTCTGTTGCTTCTCTGGTGCATCTGTGCCGTATGACAGGCTTAACTTAAGGTCATTTGGAGAGCCTTTCCTGAGCCTTCTCAATAAGACCCTCCCATACACACTGACTTTTTTTTTTTAAGTCCTGTCTCTTTTCTTAATATTTATCAACATGAATTGTGAAGCCATTGCAAAACA